GATGAGCAAGTACTTTACCAATCAGCTATGCCCTTATTCTCTTTACCCATTTTTATATTAATTTGTCTTTTTCATGTTTAGTTGTAAGAGTCCTTTATATATTCCAAGATACAAGTCTCTTTTTACTTACATGATGTGCGAATATTTCTTCTGTTCAGTGCCCTTCTTTTCTTTAAAATTATTTATTTCTTTTTTTCTTTTGTTCTTTTGGGGGGGTGGGTCTTTTTGAGGCAGGGTTTCCCTGTAGCCCCAGCTGGCCTGGAACTCACTATGTAGACCATGCTGGCCTTGAACTCACAGAGATCCTCCTGCCTCTGCCTCCTGAGGGCGGGGAGAAAAGGTTGGTGCCCCCCCGCCAGGCTTTTTTTTTTTTTTTTTCATTTTTTTATGTTTATGAGTGTTTTAGGCTACATGTATGTAGGTGCACTACCTGTGTGCAGTGCCCATAGAGGCCAGAAGAGGGCATCAGATCTCCTGGAACTGGAGTTATGGATGATTGTTGACCACCGTGTGGGTGCCGGGAAATGAACCTGGCTCCTCTGCAAGAGCAGCCAATTCTCTTAACCACTGAGCCATTTCTTGAGCCCTCTTCTTACTTTGTTCTGTGAATCATGAAAAATTTTCATTGTAAAGCTAGGCATAGTGTGGTGTGTCCTTAAAATCTCAGCAGTGTTGAGTAGGAGATAGGAGAATCCCTGGGGCTCATTGATGAGCTAGCCTAGTCGAATCTGTGAGAATTGACTGTGAGCTCCTCTAAGAGACCTGTCTCAAAAAGAAGGGCACTCAAGATTGACCTCTGCCTCTGCACACACACACACAAAAATTAAAATAATTTTTAAAGCTTATTTCATTTATTTATTGGGGACAGTAGGGTATACCATGGCTCACACTTGGAAGTCAGAGGATAACTCGGAAGAATCAGTTCTTTCCTTCTACCTTGTAGGTCCTGGGGCTCCAACTCAGGTCATTAGGTTTGGTAGCAAGTGCCTTTACCTGCTGAGCCGTCTTGGCAGCTCAAATGTTTTTAATTGTGATGAACTACATTTTTTCTTGTTTATGTTTTTTGTATTGTATTAAACAAATAACATTGCCTAAGTCAAGATTGTTAAGGTTAACTTTTATGTATCTTTTATGAGTTTTATAACTCCCAGTCTTTCATTTATGTCTTTCATCCATTTTAGGATCATATTTATACATGTGTGAGTCTGGCATTCAGCTTACAATTTTTTTAGATTTCATTTGTGTGTGTGTGTGTGTGTGTGTGTATGTATATATGTGTACATGTACGTATGTGTGTACACACATGTGTGTTTGTACACCACATGTGCGGGGGTGCCCAAAGAGCCAAGAAGAGAGCATCTGATCCCCTACAACTGGAGTTACAGGAGGTTGTGTGTTGCCTGACATGGGCACTAAAAACCTAACTTCGGCCCCTCTGTAGAAGCAGTAAGGATTCTAAACCACTGAGCCATCTCTTCAAACCTGTCCTTTTGTTTTTGACATAGATATGTATTGATCTCAGCACTATTTGTTCAAAAAATGTTTTTATGTGCTTCTAGCATTCTTATGTGAGATAGCTTCTTGATGGTTTCAATTAGAGTTGATAGAAATTGTCTTTAATTTGTTGATGCACATTACCAACATGTATTTAGTGAAATAACTTGTTACCTCTTGATCTTTTAGATGGTTGAGATTTAAGTATTCTAGAAGTCTTTTTAAAAATTAATTATTTTTATTTTATGTGTATGCATGTATTGCCTGCATGTGTGTAAGTGAATTTGTATCTTGCAGTGCCCACAGAGAACAGAAAAGGCCATTGGATCCCCTGGAACTAGAGTTACAGACAGTTGTTAACTATCATGTTTGTGTTGGGAGTCAAACTCAGGTCTTCTGCAAGAACAGCCAGTATTCTTAACTGCTGAGCCATCTCTCCAGCCCCTCTAGAAGCCTTTTAAAAGAAGGTAGCCTTAGCTAGATGTTGTGCAGGGTTGTAATCCTAGCATTTGAGAAACTGGGGCAGACTGATCAGAAGTTCAAGGCCAGTCTTAGGTACATAGCAAGTTTGAGGCCAGCTTGTGCTGCTTAAGACTGTGGTTTCGAGGAAGACGGGAGCAGAGGAAGGAAAGGGAAGGGAAGAAAGGAAGGAATGGAATTAAAGAGAGTTCCTGCCTTCCTTCAGATAATAGCTTGGTTAGTGTGTCTGACCTGGAAAAAACTCACCTGTCTTCTCTGATGTAAATAGCAGTTACAGGGATGGGTGAATTAAAAAAGTATCAGTGTTAGCCGGGCATGGTGGCGCATGCCTTTAATCCCAGCACTTGGGAGGCAGAGGCAGGTAGATCTCTGTGAGTTCAGGGCCAGCCTGGTCTACATAGTGAGTTCCAGGAGATATATATATATATCTCCACCCTGTCTCAAGACAAAAAAAGAAGTGCCAGTGATTGAAGCTATAGTGTTTGGATATTACAGTGATACTTGAAGATGATGATGAACTGATTTGGAAATTGGTGCCAGGTACTATGAAAGTAGGTCTTTAAGAGAAGCTTTAGAAGAAATTGGCATTACCAGTGTCACCAAGAATCTGAATGCAAAGCCAAGCTGTTGCTCTAGTTCAGGGTAAATCTGCAGGATCTAGAGTAGTGTCATCTAGTACAAACACAATGTATGCCTTCCTTTGAAGAGTCCAGTGACTACATTAAGAAAAAGTAAAAAGAATCAGGTGAAATTAATGCTAATAATATACTTTAATTCATATAAAACATTTTAAGTATAAACATAAAATTGAGAAAATATTTTGCAACTTCTGTAATGTCTTAGAGATCCACTTGTGTTTTTCACTTATAACACCTCTCAGGTTTAATGTAAGCCACATTACTGCTGGTGTCCAGTGGCTGCTGTATTGGGCAGCACAAGTCCAGATGTTTTGATATGATAGCCAGTTGAATTATTATTATATCAACATTGCAAAACCTCTTCAAGGTTTACTAACACAGTCTTCTAACTTGAAGGAACTGGGTTTTGAGGTACTTCCTGTCTGCCTGTTCTCTTAGACCAGCAAGCAGGTCTGGGAATTTGGGTAAGCTATGTAGGCAGCACAGCAATTGGGTAAAGAATCTGAGACATAACATTATGATGAAGGTACTTGAGTCTCTCAAATAAAAGGGAACAGGCAGCGATAATTAGAATCTCTTCTCTGATCACAGATGCTTTCCTTTCTTCTGAGGAGACATTGTGTAAATAAAATGCCGCACTTCTCAGAGGGAATGATTTTGCACCCCTATTCTGGGACATTTATCAATGTCTAGACACATTTTTGATGGTCATAATTGTATATATGTGTGTTTCTTTTTATGTATGCTACTGACCAGGAATACATTCAGGCCAGGAATACATTCAGTGAGTATTCTGCAGTGTACCCAACAGTCCCCACAACAGTGAATTACCAGGCCTGTCTGACGACTGCACAAGCCGAACAGGATCCTCCTTTGTTTCCATAAGTAGTTTCTTCAGTCAACCATTTTAAGTTCAGATTCTTTTTTTTTTTTTTTTTTTCATATAAAACTTGTGAATTGAGCTTTCAAATATTTCCTCTGCCCACACCCCTGGAAAATGGGAAATGTATACCTTTCTTACCCACCTCTTAACTCTTCTCTTGGGAAGTGGTTAAAACTGTGGCAGTCCCTCTGCTTTCCCTAACCCCCATTCCTGGAACATTTTGTTCTACTTTCCTCCAGGCAGTCTTGTAAAGCTTCCAGAAAGATTATTGCACTATTCTTAAGCATGTTAGAAATTTTGAACCTATTGTGGAAGAGGTGTGTGTGTGTGTGTGTGTGTGTGTGTGTGTGTGTGTGTGTGTGTTTTTTATTCTGGAATCCCAATCTCATTCCAGTTAGTTGTATGGCAAGAAAATTCTGATTTTTCAACTAAGAAAACATACTCTATTATAATTTGATGACTGTACCTTTTAATAATCTCCTTGGGATGTTTTTTAACTTATAAAGGTGTATATCATGGAGAACTCTTTCATTCCTCTAAAATTTCATAACGTCAAACCTTCAGAAATATTGAAGCAGTGGGGCTGGAGAGATGGCTCAGTGGTTAAGAGCCCTGACTGTTCTTGCAGAGGACTCAGGTTCGATTCCCAGCAGCCAAATGGTGACTAACAACCAGCCCTAACTCCAGTCTTGTGGGATCCGACGCCCTCTTCTGACCTCTTTGGGAATTGCTTGACATAGGTGTTCTTGCAAATACTCAGGCAAAACATTCATACATAGAAAATAAAATTAATAAAAAATTTAAAAAGAATTATTAAATGGCTAGAGAGATAGCTCGGTGGTTAAGAAAATTGGCTACTCATTTTTATTTCTTAAATATATATATATATATTTATTTAAATGTATGTACATGTACACACACACACACACACACACACACACACACACACACACAGAGTCTCTGGAGTTAAGGACAGTTTGTAGCCTCCATGTGGGTGCTGGGAATTGAACCTGGGTCCTCTGCAAGAGCAGTCAGTGCTCTTAACCGCTGAGCTATCTCTCCAGCCTGAAAATTGGCTACTCTTTTAGAGGACCCAGTTTTGGTGCCCAACCCCCACATGGTGGCTAAAAACTGCCTGTAACTCTAGTTCCAGGGAATTCAACCACCCTCTTCTGACCTCTGCAGGTGCACTTACAGTTATGCAGGCAATACACTCATACACATAAAAATAATGATAAAATATTATTTTAAAAACAAAAAGTTGAAGCGCTAAATGAAAAGTTGTGAGTAAAAAAATACTCCTTTACTTACAAAAGGGGAATGTCACCACCCTGTCCTCAGCCCCAGCCAGTCCTTGTGTGATAAAACATTTGAATTCAACTAAAATGGATGAAATTACTTTATTTGGCGTTTCTTCTTAGTGTGTAACAAATATTCTATCCTCTGTGTTAAGAATCTCACAACACAAGATTTATTTCTGAGTAGAAATTTTCTTTCTGTTTTAGGCCGGAGCCTCAACAGAAAGCTCCTTTAGTTCCTCCTCCACCACCGCCACCACCACCGCCACCACCACCACTGCCAGACCCGGTGCCCCCAGAGCCAGAGGAGGAGATTCTGGGATCAGATGATGAGGAGCAGGAGGACCCTGCAGATTACTGCAAAGGTGATGTAGTGGAGTGATAGGGTGGGCTTACTTTCCTCATGGGTACTAATTTGTTTGGCAAATGGACAAGGGGAATTGGTGATGTGAAGTACTTAGTCCGAATTAAATTAACTTCCACTGTCAATTACAGAATGATACCAGAAAGTGTAAAAGATGATAGAGAATTGTAAGAGAGCAAAAAAATATATACATAACTTTAGAACATTTTAAACACATTTAGTCTCTTCCAATTAAAGATAAAGGGCATGGTAAACCATGTCAGAACATCATAAGAAGTAGAAGACACCAGGCTTCTGACAGAAGCTACTTATAACTCTTGTATTTGGCATTAAACTTTCTGACTGCTAGGCTAAAAGAGAAACATTCCCCTTTCTGTATAGCATTGAATTCCATAGTATTCATTGTCTGTGGAAAAAACCATGCACATTTGTTTACAAAGAGAGACTTTCTTGGCATTGTACTTAACGAAAAAGACATTCTCTGGGTTGGTTCTGCTGTTGTGTGGCATACTAGGTTTTGCTTCCTTCTGTGATTTCACAGAGGACACAGAGTCTGTTGAAGTGGAATGTTCTTGCATTGATGATTTATTCAGACCCCAAAGTATACAACCGAAGTCCTCAGAAGCAGGCATGTTTTGTGATGAGTACTGAGAACAGTAGGAGCTAGATATCGTACTTTGTGTGGACTGGACTCCAGGAAAAGGAAGGTGCTGAGTCCCTGGCTGCTTCTCTTAACTTGATTTGTTCATTTAAAATTTAATTCCCCACAATTTTGAACTTCTACATAGTTGATAAGACACTTTTACTCATTGCAAATTTTAAACATGTAAATCAGATTTCATATAACATAAAGTAGATGGCAGAATTTGCATACATGAACCCTTAGTGAATCTTTGAGCCTGTAGTTTCTTAGTACTGGCCACCATTAGGTAGCAGTTTCTCTACCTCACCCTCTACCTGATAGCCTTTGGACTAAGTTCTTCAGTAAGAACTGCTTTCCCAGGATGGTGTTGTGTTTCACTTTGGCTAAGGTGTCCTGTATGTCTTCTGTTATTCCCTGATTCCTTCTGTTTATATTGCGTTCATTCCTGGTGAATCTTTGCCTTACCAGCCACTTCTCAGTTCTCCTAGAACACAATAACAATTAAGCATGAACCATAATAAAATATCGTACATTCCCTCTTTGCAGAAAAAAACAAAAATTATTCAATATAGATCATTTTGGGGCAGGGGGACATGTCACCTGGAACCCTATTACTCAACAGTAGCTGCCTCATGCCTTTGGATTGTTGCTGATCTTAGTCATTCACCATCAAGTAAATTGTATCTGATTAGTATTTTTACTTTGTTACCTTTAGAATCTACTGTTATTAAACATTTGTGAGCTCTCCACCATTTAAAGAGTACTACTTAAATTTCTGCTGTTGCTAAAGCATTTTTCATCATTCCCGTGCATCTTCTTTGGAGTAAAGTTTGTCCTTTTTTCAGTCAGTTTGTTTAACTATAGCTCTCCAGGATAATTATGGACTGGCTTCTGTGAAACCTGGTTTAGAACCTGGCTCTATTGCTTTGTGAGTCTCTGTCCTTGGATGAGTACTTTTACCTCTATTTTTTGATTTTTCATCTATAATATAATCATGTCATTTGCTATATATAATATATAGTATCCTACTTAAGATTTTGTGGGGGTTAAAATGGGATAAACGTGTGAAGTGTGCAGCACACTACCTGTCCTAGTTTGTTTCTCCATTGCTGTGACAAAACACTCTGACCACTACCAATTTGGGGAGGAAAGGGTTTATTTGCCTTACATCTCCCAGGTTACTGTTCATCAGGGAGCCCAAAGTAGGAACTCAGGGCAGGAACCTGGAGTCAGGAGCTGGAGCACAGGCCATGGAGGAATGCTGCTTACTGACTTGCTCCCCTGGTTCCTACTCAGCGGCAGCAGCCTGCTTTCTTATGCAACACAGGCCCACCTGCCCAGGGGTGGCACCACCCACAATGGCTGGGCCCTCCTACATTATTCAACAATCTAGAAGGTGCCCTATGGACATGGCCACAGGCCAGTCCAGTGAAGGAAATTCCCCAGGTGTGTCAAGTTGACACTAAAGATATCTGGCATACTACCCATCATATAGAAGATTTTTAAGAAATGAATTTCACTTCCTTGTGCCCTATCTCTGTTCAGTCATTCCCTTTGGTGTGTATTCTCTGCTGTATTTTCCTGTTTTCCCCCTTCATAACTGGTCCCTATGCTTGCTACCTGTTTGTCTTTTGGAGGTGGATTTTCGTAGCTTCTAAAGAGAGTTGTCAGCATTGGCTGTCTTTATTACATGACACCTCTTGTCACCTGTCTGGCCAGAAACTGTACCAATAGGCTCTGTTTAGAATCTTCTTTGAAGCCAAAGGACATGAATTGGGCTTGAGTACAACCTGTAAACAAATCACTTCCAGGAGGCCTTATGTAATAGGTACTTGCCTCATGAGTCTCTGCAGAAAGCCTGTATCACTGAAAGTTTTAAATGTTCTCAGGAGGTACTGCACCATAACATATACTGAGTTGGGAGTCCTTGAGAATGTTGCAGGGACCTTATAAAGTGATTTTATTGCACATTGAAGGCTATGATTTGCTCATCTAAAGTATGTTCTATACTTGTGTGTGTGCTCATTTGTGTGTGCATCTGTACACATGTATAGGGCTCAGAGAAGCACATCGGATACTTTGTTCTAACACTGCCTGCCTTATTCTCTTGAGATGAAGCTTCTCATTGAACCCGGAGGAACTCACTGTTTTTGGCTTGACTGACTACCTAGCTAGCCTCAGTGATCTTTCTGTTTCTACTCATACTCTCCCCCCATCCCCTTCCCAAGTGGTGGAATTATAAGTGCATGGAACCACTCCTTTTATGTGGGTTCTGGGGATCTGCACTCAGGTCCTCATGTTTGCACAGTAAGTGCAATTACCCACTGAGCTATCTCTCCAGTCTGTGAACCAAATTTCAAAAGCTTGAAAGCTCCAAGTGAGTGATGACTCTTAATTCCATTCTGTTCTTTTGTGTGTGACTGAATCATAGTCTAAGGGCAGTCTTTGCTTTGAATTATCTGATGTTCCTTTCTGGAACTCTGAGCACATACCTGGTATAAGGACCTACAGAATGGCAAGGATAGGAACATTGCTTTGTAATATCAGGCTGCCTGCTGTGACTGGCTCCCTAGGGATCTCATTTTGTAGTTCTTAAGGCACTCTTAAATGAGTTGGCACCTTTGTAATATTTCGTCACTTTCATTATTTCTGGAGACACTGATTTCCACATAGTTGTGGTCTGAATTGGCATGAAAGCATGTTGCCTTCTTGGGCATGTCTTCCTGGAACCTCTAATCATCTATTAGTCAGGCCCTTCCCTTTATTCAGAGTAGTCCCTCCTGCATAGTTCTATCATGATGTATACAGTATACATTTATTTTAATGTTCATTTATGATCTCCTTTTCACCAATATGAAATGTGCCTTGTGGTCAAAGTCTGTGCCTTTTGTAAATCTTACTACATTTGAGCTATCCATGTTTCTGACAAATGGGTAGTGTGTTAATGCTGTGTGTGCCTGAGAAAGCTTGTTATGGGAACAGGTAGATGGACATGTTAAACACAAAACTGTTTAACACAGAGTTTTCATTTTTGCATTTTATATTAAAATTGCCCCTAATGCTCCAGAATTCTTAAAAATGACACACATTTAAGTGCCATACAGATTGTATCTTGAGAAACTTGGGCAGTATCTTCAAAGCATAATACAAACAATTATTTATGAACTTAGAAACAAGTCAGGTGACTTTCTTACACACAAATTGCCTTTACTCATTTATCTACTTTCTATCTGTGGAAATTAGAGACGAAGTGAATTTTGTTACTCTGAAAATTCAGTGTTGGTCGTTATTAATTTTCACTGGTTTTATACCTAATCCCCTCCTCCTTTCTCCAGAGTACATAATTCACAGCTGTATTACAGCTTAATTTTTTTCTTCTTCTTCCTTTAAGCACTTACATGAGATTTATATAAAAGCCTCTCCCATATCAATGGTTCTTCATCAGTGAGGGAGGGTTTGCCCTGAGGGTCCTATTTGTGATGTTGGGAGACATTTTTGGTTTCTGTAGCTTAAATTGCTCCATTAGCATCTGTTTGGTAGAGGCTTGGGATATTGTTGAACATCTCCCTTGCTTAGGACAGTTCCTGTTGTGAGAATCACTCAGGTCCTAATGTCGTAGTATCTAGGTAGAAAAACCTTGCCTGGCAAAATACCTGTTTTTCTCTGTTAGAAATGGGAGGCAGAGCAGGCGGATCTCTGTGAGTTCAAGGCCAGCCTGGTCTACATAGTGAGTTCCAGGACAGCTGGGACTACAGGGAGACCCTGTCTCAAAAAGAACCTCCCCCCAAAATGTTGTCATGAAGTCTCAAATATTTATAGAAATATAATTGTTCATTTTCCTTCCTTTAAATATAAGTAAAAATGACTTTTATTCATTGATGAAGATAACTTTAAAAAAAAAACTTCTAGTGCTGCATATTGTCTTAATTCAAATGTAGTGAATGCTCTTGAACTTACTACATAATGCCTCATTGTCTTTCTTTTGTAGCAACCCAGGGCATTCTGACCTGTTGATATTAAACAGTAAATGTATATTTGCTAAAGAACATGGAATTTTTTATATACTTTAATTAAAAGGCTGTTAGAGGCCTTGGGAGATCGGTCAGTGGTTAAAGCTGCTTGACATTTAAGCAAGAGGACTGGAGTTTGAATTTCCAGAACCCAGTTAATTGCCAGTGGGTATGGTGGCCTACCTGTAATTCTAGCCCCAGAAGACTGAAACTGGGAATCCCTGGAGCAGGCTGGCTAGTGATACTAGCTGTATCAATGAGTTCTGGGTTTCACTGAGAGATCCTGCCTCAAAGAATACAATAGAAGAACAATCGAGGAAGATTCTTGCTGTCAACCTCAGACCTCTC